TGAGGTTTGGGGGGCTGGGTCCAGGGTTTGAGGGTTGGTGTGGGCCTCCATGGCGCACAGCCCCTGCTGGTGACAGTGGCAGCAGCAGCAGTGGGCAGCAGGTGCTCATGGTAGGCAGAGCCCCCACAGTCATGCGCCAGTTTGGCTGAGCCCCGGGATCTGCCCATGGCAGCAAGGAGCTGGCCTGGGCCAGCCTGCTGGCATGCAGCTTTGGGCAAGACCAGATTGGCTGCCAGCATGTGGGACACCCAGGACTGTGAGCAGGAGCTGCATGCCATCAGGCTGGGCTGGCTCCATTCCTCCATGTGGGGCTTCCAGTGCTCCAACAGGGAGCTGCATGTGGAGGTACGGAGTTAGCCAGGCCCTGCCCAGCAGCACACACTCCTGGCTGTAGTGCTGGGAGCCCCACAGGCTGGCCGGAGCCAGCCCAGCTAGCCTGATGGCACATGGTTCCTAGAAATAGTGCCGGGAGCCGCACGTGGCAGCATGGAGCTCACTGAGCCCAATGGTGTGCAACTCCCCACAGCTCCCAGTTTACGTGCCATTGGGCCAGGCAGGCTCTGTGCCACCATGTGCAGCTCCCAGCTCTCCTTCCGGGAGCCACATAACATCGGGTCAGCCAGGCAGGCTTCCAGCACTGCAGCCAAGAGCATGTGCTGCCAGGCCAGGCTGGACTGGCTCTGTGCCTCCATGTGGGGCTCCCAGCACAGGATGCGGGAGCTCCCCTCCCCACTTACCAGCTGTCCAGTTGCGGGCCCTTGTGCCCATGCCTCCACATGGGGCTCCCAGATGGAGTGCTGGGAGCCCCATGGAGGTGGAGGCACATAGCCCTCCAGTCTGATGGCGTGCAGCCTCCAAAAGTGCACCTCCTGGTGGCTGTTGGAGGGGCAGCCATGGGCCAGAAATAATTGGTTTTTGGAGGGGCCTTGCTGACTGGATAGGATAACCTGCCGCAGGGCATATTTTGCCTGCCCCTGTTTTAGAGTAAAATTTAAAGTTATCAAGCCTTGAAAATGGCCTGGCTACAAGTAAATATTTGACTAGTGTATCAATGCACCTTGAATGGCAAAATACCAGAGAGTTTTTGACACTGCTCAGCATAATTACATATCAGACTTAAATTGGTAACTGCATTTCCAGAATGTTAATCGTACATGAAGTGCTCCATTCTGCACACTCTTACAATCTCAGACTCTTACCTCGTTTATCTCCTTTCTCTTTTCTGATGATTGAAATGTTGGCGTACTGCAGTTGATCAGATTCATCATTTGCTGCAGGAAATCAATTGAAAAGGAGTTAAAAGACAAGTTGCAAGGAATTATAAGTAGCTGGATTCAACTATGGGAAGGGGGACAGAGTGAGACTCAACCTGGGGTATAAGAAACACAGTATCTTAATGCAATCAAGGAGACAGTATGTTAAGTGCTATCCTGGGGTTATTTTTTAGCTCTGTTTGAGCAAAGTGGCTCTGGACCACGTCAGGATTGAATAACATTGAGAGAGAAGAATTAAACTACTTTTTGAACAGTACAAAGCAAAGTATGGAATCTGTGTGCTCATTTTGTTGCAAGTGTGCTATCAACATACAAGTCCTATCTTCAGAGCTTATAAATGAATGCTGTGCAGATCCAGGTGCTTTTTTTTAATCAAATGGTATTTCATTTTCATATTATGTTTTAATAGTTACTTTTGTCTACTCCATGGATGTTTCCCTTCTAACCCCTTCTCCAGACAAGTTTCTAAGATTTTCCAATTCCTTTATAGTGATTGGTATTATCAGGCTGCCGGTTGGTTAGGTGGCTGGTATGAGGTACTAATTTAGAGCCTAGTCTTAGAGATACTTAGCACCAGGACTTCTAGCTGAGTCCAAAAGAAGTTGCATTGACTTCATTTGCATCTCTTTCATCTGACACTCAAAGGAATTATCTTTATTAGTTAAAACTAGTTCATCTTATCCTGTTGTCAAACTTCTGTATGCAAATGTCATGAAAGAAAGAGCAGTTTAAACATTACCAATCTCAGTGTATATCACGCAGTTTTCTGACTCTGTCTTGTCTGAAACAAAACCAGTAGATGATTTAGGTGACTTCAGTTTTCCTGCAAGATAAAGGGGAAAAAAGTGATAAAAATATCAACTTCTCAAAAAAAAAAAAAAAAAAAGTATGCCCCGTGACTTTTTAACAATGATTTTAAATAAAGCGTTTTTTGCCAATGGGCATGCCTTAAAAGAAGTGCTACTCAAATCTGACAATGTCTTTATTTTGTACATAGGTACTGGGAGAGGAAATGAGTTGTTCCCAAATCTGTATCTTAAGTTTAGATAGAGATACTAGATAAAACACGAGTTGTTCTCAGATCTAACAGGTGTGCTACACGTGCTTTTATAAAGAGATTTTTCTACTTACCTTTCTACCGTAAGATCCTGATTGTGAAAACACATAATGAAAGAAGTCCTATTCAGTGGAATCAATTATGTAAACAAAGTTATGGAGTTGTATAATTTGTGATGGGATTGGGCTTAAAACATTGCCAAAAATCATTTTGCTTGGATGTCTGCCTTTAAAAAACACTTGGAGTCAATTGAAAAGAGAATCAACTTAATTGATTCTCAAACTCCCCAAACAATACCCCAACTTAACTTTGCTTACGAAATGCCTACCCAAATGAAAAGGTCTTACTTTCCTTCCAGAAAATGTTCAAACCCACCAAAAGAGAGAGAGAGAGAGAGAGAGAGAGAGAGAAAATCAAAAGTAACTTACTTGCTTTATACCAAGGAAGGAAAAGAAATGGAATTGCCACAGCAATCACGATTACCACCAGCAGGAGGAAGACCACAAGAGAAATCCAGAGTAGATAGGAAATGCCTGCCTTCTCTGTAAAAAGACGAAAAAGGAGGCTTATAGAAACATGCAACACATTTCATTTTGTTTCCTATTCGTAGTCTTTTTCTTTAAGTTTAAGATCAAGGCTCAGCGTTTCTTTTCTCAGTCTCACATGCCAGTAGTAAATAAAACAGTAGCATGGCATGGGATCTGCATAGGAAGGAAGGGGACTAGTTTGTGACTAAAATCCCACAGCTATCTAGAGGAATAAAGGGACAGAATCTCCCTGTAGCAGGAAGTAGGGAATTAATTTGAAATTCAGGTCTATTAAATCTCTCTGGGATAGATTCAGAGCAAAGCTAGGGCTGTTTACAAAGGTGACTCCTTTTTGGAGGCTCTTCATGCTCTCTTCCTAAGTACTAGTTTACAACCTAAGCTGGGCTCTGTCTTTTGAAATAACTACCATCTCTTGCAATTAGACCTCAAGAGTAAAGTTCTTGTGAGGGGAAAAAATAAAACCAAAAGATCTCTGCTTTGCTGGACATGGTACCCCCACTTCTAACACAGATAGTTAAAGACTCTTCCTGTAGTGCTAGTAAAAATTATCAAACACATACCTGACAAGGTAAACCTGAGACTGTTGCTGTATTTCTTTGAATTGGGAATTCTGTTTTCAGCTTTGCACTTATAGTCACCCAAAACATTGGAAGAATTGATAGTTAAAGAAATATTAGCAGCTGCCTTCCCCTCTACACATATAGGGGGTGATATAGTCTTATTTCCTCTAAAAAATCTGTATGTGATAGGATGAGAGCCATTCTCTGAGACACAAAAGAGGGTCACATTCTGGCCTGTCTTAACTCGGGAAGTGGGTGAGCTCAGCACTGGTTGGGACACAGTTTCTGTGAAAAATAATCATAAGAAAGCAAAATTAAATACCATCTCAAATGTGACCTTCACACCTAGAAACAAGTTCTGCTGATCGCAATAGAGTGACACCCATTTACACTGTGACAGTTTAGGTCAGTGGTTCTCAACATTTCTAGACTCAAGGCACCCGCCAGCTCTTAGTATTAATTCTTTTCTGACAATAAAAAAATCAGAGTGATTGTTCTATTGCAAAAGATTTGGAAGACCACAACAGGTTAGAATGTCTTTAATACTATGGATTCCTGTTTGAAACCTCTGTATTTGTCTTGTGAATCACGTTTGCACACGTAATAGTGGCACCCCATGGCACCCTGGTTGAGACTCGCTGCTCCAGACAAAAACATACTGTTACAAAATTATTCTGTAGCACATCTCCCAAGATTGAATGGCTTATTGAGTACTTAGTCTTTTTGCTTTAAAATAGTTTTTATTTCTTTTTTAAACCTTTGTTCAAAGATCAATGTGGGATATCAAGAGGAATGGGGTTATCTGTAGTCCTAACATGGTCCTTCATTGTACTCCCAAGCCACCTTGTGTGTATGCGGTCTTTATCACAGCAAGGCCAGGTTGAGGTACTTCTCTTACATGAGACAGGCAAATAATCAGGGACCAATTTTTTACACATTTCTGAGGCCCCCTGTCCATATTACATTTATGCTGTGATTAACATCTTATCTCCCATGCCTGGCAGCCCAACCAGAACTGCTAGGCATGAGGTTTTGACAATAAGCTACCTGTTGGCCCCAGATCTCAAATTCAGGGCTGTTCTTGACACAGTGGGTAAACCAGACCCAGGATTGTTTGAGGTTGGGGCTGAGAATCAGCTGATTTTTGGCCCCGTGTACAGGGCTGCAGCACCTGGTTTTGAACTTGCCAGTACAGGAGGAGCCCAGGATTATCATCACATGCTCCCCATGTAATGGCATAATTCACATCTGATCCCCGATCCCAAAATCACACCTCTTGCCATGCAAATGTGGCTTAGCAGGAGGCACAGTTGTTGGAATTGGAGATCAGATTGCATTGCACCATTAAGTGAATGTGTGCCAGGGGTCTGATTGTAGTTTCTCCGCTCTTAGAGCCTTCTCTTGCTCTTGGTGTTTACAAGTAAAATTCCAAAATCGTATGTCTATACTTAATACATTCATCATAGCTCTTCAGATAGGTGGCGAAGGATTAAAGACTTTGTGGGGTTGACTATTATCAACTCATGTTTCCTGATGTTGCAAAATGTAACAGAAACCATAACACCTACCTATTAATGTAAAAATTAAACTCTTGCTGTATTTTGCTTTCTTGAGGATTTCATTTGTGGCTTTGCACGTATATTTGCCTATATCACTTGCAGACTTGATATTTAAGATAAACTTAGCTGGCATCCCCGCACTCTTGGTTTCAGTGAATAGTTTCTGATGGTCTCTAAAAAGAGTATAGTTGATCGGA